TCTATTAAATACATTTTAATTCTCAATTAAATACCTTAAATAAAAACCTTTGTAACCTCTGCACTGTCCACAGGCAAACCACGAAGCGCCCCCTTTATATACGCATACTGGTATAACAAGTGTTTAATTTTCCACGTCAATTGATGCTAAGTTCAAGTGTGCATTTTCACGACACGTTGTGGTGCCTAACTAGTTTAAACTTCAACTGGTGTTTAAATTTCCGAAAAGTATAGCAGCTATGGTTCGTATTGATAGCATAGAACTGTGTAGGTCCTACACTGGTAAAATAAGTGTGTATAATTTAAACACCAACGTGTTTAAGTTGTGATTTTAAACATTACATGGTGTTTAGCTCAAGTCACACTTGCGTGGTGTGCACATTTTAAACGTTTTGTAAACGACACTGTCCCCTGATAAAACCGCTACACTGTTAAGGCTTTACGAGGAAAATGCCAAATCCTTTTCGTAGGTACGAAGGATTTGGAAGCTTCGTAGGTAGCAAATCCTTCGTAGGTACCATGGATTTGACAATTTGCTTTCGCAAGATTTTAACTGTGTACCGACGGTCAGCGCGAGTTGCTCATCGCCTTTGTTCCTCCCGTTTCAGGAGCTTCACGGAGCACTGCGCGGTGCTCGGCGCGGGCCCTGGGCCGAGGCTACGGCAGGGTGTCTAGCCTCACAACCCTCAGGGCCTCGCGCGCCTCTCTCGCCCATGGCGGGCACAGCCTCCTGATATGGTGCAGGCCCTGGGAGCGGGACCGGGGCAGCAGCAGCAGCAGCAGCAGCAGCAGCAGCAGCAGCAGCAGCAGCAGCAACAACAACAACAACAACAACAACAGCAACAGCAACAGCAACAACCACAGCAACAGCAGCAGGTGAGCCAAGCCCCACGCAGTGCAATTCAGTTGTAGTTTGTTTGCAGGAAGTCTCTCTGCCGACATGGCCGTGTCCTCGCAATCTCTTCCGCTTGTTTCTCCCTCCTATCTCTCGTCTTCTTCCGGAGTGAATGCCGGGTAACGAGCTGTCAGAATCAGACTTGTACCACTCTTCCAATCGTGCGCGCACCCCGCGGAGGCCGGGTTGGGCCGTCGACGGGACTGGGGCCAGCGCCTCTTCTGCGGAGGTGCGAGCGCAGAGCGCAGTGAACATCAGAGTGGATAGTTCGGAACCAGCGACGGCATTTCGTACCAGGGGCGCCGGAAGTTGATTTTGCAGGGGGGGGCGGAGTAACAAAAGGGCCCGGATTTTTCCAAAAGGGCCCGGGGCCCGGTTTTTCGCAAAGCGTTTATCTTTTTAAAAATGACCAAAATGCAGGTTTTTGCAAAGTTGTGTTCAAAATGATATTTTAAATAAATTGCAATATATCTCTAAGTGCTTTTACTGTCCCAGTGGACAAAATATAGTCTAAGTCTTGTCAAGTCATTTCACAAATATGATGTCATTTTGACGTCATTTTCAGTCAATTTGAGGTCATTTTGACATCATTCTGACTCCAAATGTCGTTAAAATGACATCATATTTGTGAATTGACTTGACTTGACATGACTTGGACATTTTTTTGTCCACTGGGGTCTGCCTGAGGGCACCTCCTGTGCTTCGCGGGACCCCTTTTCCAAGTTTTCGCTTCTCTTGTCGGTTGATCAGGCCCGTTTCGGATGCCCAAAAGCACCCGAAGGGCCCGCTTCGCAGGCTAAGAGAGGGCCCGCTTCGCGGGCCGAAAGGGCCCGCACCCGATTCAGGGGGGGCATTTGGCCCCCCCTGCCCCCCACTTCCGGCGCCCCTGTTTCGTACCCACATTGGAGAAACTCAGCGCAGGGTACCGAGCGATGGGGAGTACGGGGCAACCGTACTCTGCTTTTTTGCGGCGAAATTCGGCGTGATCTTTGAACAGTGTGCCCGGCGGGACGGGCGGAGACAGACCCCCGCAAACCTTGCGGCCCCCTCGGTGGTCCCCCCGCTCCGGGAGGCGACCGCTTCTCTATTTCACATTGAGGGATTGCGCGCGCGGGCGGGCGCTCGCCCGAGGGGCTTCCGAGAGGAGTTTCCTTGGAAGTAGCAGTGTATAGCAGCATGGCAACTCTCTCGTGTGGGGGGCTTTACTTGCTCCAGCAAGCCAGCTCCAGAGCCTGGGTGGGTATGGCGCGGGCCCCCGAGCTGGGAGCACCTGCAGCAGCAGCACCAGCAGCAGCAGCAGACGCCATGCCGTACCCTATCGAGGCGGGGCGCCTCAGGCATGAAGTAAAGTTCCGTGGGCGTGGGCCCATTGTGCTGAAGGGGGCTAGGAGGGCGGGCTAGACAAGCGAGCCGGCGAGCGAGCGCGCCGCCTGTAACACAGGGCCGGGCCCTCTCCTTCACCTGCCCTTGTATGGAGTTGGTCCCTTGTGATGACATCAGTGCCGTGTCCCGCCCCGCCCTACCCCACCTCACCTCGCCCCGCCCTACCCCACCTCGCCCCCACTGCCGCGCACACCACAACCCACCACGCCCATCGCCCATGCTAAGGCCACGCTGGCTATGTTTGTCGGAGAGGCGGCTTCCTTCTCCTCATGCTCGCAGGCTGTGACCCCCTCTCACTTCCAGGCCAATTTGCATTGTTGCTTTTGGATGGTAATACCGCTCGTGTGTGTGTGTGTGGTGTGAGAGGAGGGGTGGGGGTTAGGGGTAAGGGTGTTAAAGGTGCCTTTGGGGTGCGGGCGCTATATATGTGCCGCTGCAGGCGAGGCATGGCACGGCGGTCCACAGGCTCTACGACGGTCGTCGGCGAGAGAAAGGGGGTCTGATGACGGGGTGCGGAGTGGAAAGAGCAGCGGCAAGGAGATGGGGGAGGGGGGGGGAGGGGGGCTTTTCCGCCGACACTGCGATCCCACCGCCTTCTCCTTAAATTACCTCGGCCGGGGCCGGGCGCGCTCCGCAAACAGAGAAAAGTGGACGTGTAATTTCTCATACTTTTAGGAGAAAATGAATCCCTTTCCCCAGCGGGGGGCCCCTTGCCTCCCCCGGGGACGAGCTCGAGCCCGCCCAAGCCCCGTGGGCTCCTGTGGCGTCACTCTTACTCAACCCTCCCTCCGCCCCGCTAAACTCTCCCGCCCCGCCGCACTCGGGCCGGCCCGGCCAGGTGACGAGGGGCGGCGCGGTCGCAGCGTGTCTGCCCGCCAAGGCCCTGCGTGAATTTTGTTATTCAGTGATGTTTCGGACGGGGGCGCTGGGAGTGGCTCGAGACCCGCTGCTGGGACTGTCACCCGGCCCGGCCCGGCCCGCCCGGCTGCGCCCGGCTCTCTGCCCAGCACAGAGGGGCGGCGTCCCTGTCCAACTCCCGCAAAGTCCGCGCCGCACCACCGCAGCTCGGCCCGGGCGGTCTCCATCTCCATCCCGCTCACTCAGTCACAGCCCTCTGCGAGCCCCTCTGTGTCCGCACGGATGGCCTGGACAGCCAATTCCAAGTATAGTTTTCCGGGCGTGTCACCTGAGCCAGGCCCTTGGCGGCGCACCCTCTCGTCCCAGTCGCCTCTGCCTCCAAGACAGTTCGTGGTCATTCTGACGGGCGGGGCCGGGCGGGGCGCGGGCCGCTGGTCTGTTGGCTAAGCACGGCCCTCCTCCTGTCCCCACTCAGTCCGTTTGCAGAGGGCGCCCCACCTCCCCCGCCCCGGAGACAGGCCCGCTGGAGCTTGCGGGAGAGTGCGACTGGGACACTGGCAAACTTTGTCGTTATCTATGGACTCGGAAGTTGTTTATAAAGTAGGAAGACTTTTGCCGGGGCGTTTAAACTTGGCAGTCGAGTCGTCGTCGACTTGACGGAGCAGTCGGCATCCTGGAAGCGGCGTCGTCGGGCTGCGGCGGGAGGGGCGGGGGCGGGGCCCTCGGCGGTGCAGCAAGTCGAAAGGAGGGGCGGGGGCACTTCCGGCGCGGGGACGGGTGGCAAGGGGCGGGGGTCGCGAGGGGTTCATCCCGAATGATTAAAGCGGAGGGAGCGGGCGGGCGGCGCCAGGCCTCGGCCACTCGCGCGCCCCGCGCCCCGGCCCGATCTGGGGAAAGTGATTTCATTATCTCTGTTCGGGCTGCTGGTCTGGGTCTGGCCTGGCCGATGCCTGGCCTTGGCCGCACCCGTCGGGACCGTGCGCCCGACCCGGCCGTCTCGTCTGGTCAGGGCCGGCTGCGGTCAGCAGGCAGCGTCTGTCAAACACGAGCTCGAGCGCTGCCCTCTGCCACCGGCCCACGATCCCCAAGTCCACTCACGAAACTGTCCCTCGTCACGAAGTTGACATTTCTGCCTTTCAGAAATTCCAAAGTATTTTGTGACTTTATGTATTTTCACTTTTTCCACGACTCATTTCTCCTCGTTCGCCTTTTACCAGTTACATTATAGAGTACATGTTACATGCACTCCTCGCAGCTCCCGCCCACACATTTGCAGTCATACTATACCGCTCGCACCCTCAGCACTAGTTAAAAGAAGTGTGTGGATATTGCACATCTGTACGTTTAATTCTATAACTAATATTTTATGTTCGCAAACTACGACGTGTGCAGTTGAGTTAAACACCATGTAATGTTTGAAACTAGAATTAAACATACAGGTGCCACTGAAATCCGTTTTGTGATACTTTTACTGAATTTTTGCGATAACTGGTGTTTTGCGATTCTCACGCTACTGGGCATGATAGCTCCAAGAAATGTCATAAAAGTATCAAATTATTGTGATACTTTTATATCACATTTTTGGTGGTTATCATGCGCTTTAGCGTGGGAATCGCAAAACACTAGTTATCGCATGGTTTTGTGTTAAAAGTATCGCAAAACCAGACTCAGTGTGTGCAATATCTATACACTTCTCTTACTAGTGCTGACCCTCAAGACCTGCTATTGCAGGCAACCAGCCAATATGCGGGCCGAATCTGCACTGAGAAAAGCGTTTTGTCCTAATACCCAAAAAAGTGTTGAATCAAAGAAAATTTGCTCCCTCAAGCCAACTAAACATTTGATCAAGAATTTTAAACAAAATATGATCAGGTCGACCACACCTTTATCAACATGACTAAATCAAGTGGGGCGACCAAAATTTGTCTTACGCAAGTAAAATTTTCGGGGTTTCCGTTTTTGTTGCGCGATTCAAATGGTTTTCTGAGTGTGCCGCTGCTTTTTGTTTCTATTTTCAAAAGGCACAAGTTTTTCAAAACCTTCTGTTATTATTTCGTTGGGAATAATTTCACAGAGATTTCACTGCCTCTCCCGAAGCAGACGTCGAGTCCGGTCCGAGCTGGACGCTGCCGTACTTCATATGTAACGCCGGCTACAGATTGACCTCTTTCCGGTGCGAGAGCGGGTGTGGCGTCCAGCAGTCCCCTCGGCTGGGGCGGCGCGGGGACGCACAACCCTTTTTAGCACCCTTTAATTACATACCGTAATAGGCTGAGGCTCCCGCCTCCCCGCCGGGCCCTGCCGTATCGCCCCGCCCCGGCTACACCCGGCTGCTCGCCAGGACCTCTGGCCGGTCCCTGAGGGCCTTTCCGTCCGGCCCCCACCTCCCCCAGAATGTGGACTGTGGAGAAACGACTCCAGCCTGTATATTGAGCGTCCTTCCCGCAATGAGCTGAGCCATCGAAATCTATTTTTCGTGTACCTGTATACTATGCCGAGATCGCCATAATCTTAACATGAGTCCAACGCTGTATACTTAATCAATCAGTCTTAGTACCGGTCTTTCGAAAGTTTTCCGAATCTTTTAAAATTTTTGTTACTCTGAAAATCCAGCGGTGTGCTTAACATGCTGTTGTGCTTACCAAAGCGTATATGCATGCACACTAATTTAATAGTGTGCTCAGCACGCACTGTTAGTTGGATTTCCAGTGTGTAAAAAATCAAATTAACTCTAGTTTCC